AAATGTGTCAAGAAAAGTATTCTTGGAGAATGGGAGTAATCTGCTTTCTTACTATGGTTATGCAGAAAAGGCTGATTATTTGACCAACATGGGAGATTGTAAATTTGACATGTTTTGCTGAAGTGAGGACATTGTCAACTTCAAGAATGAATGTAAAGGAGTCATTGTTGCAGGTTAAAAGGAGTAATGGAGATTTTTTTTCTTTTTCATTGCCTTTAACATTGTTAAGCCTCCTTCCTCTCATGAAAACATGATGATTCAACGAGAAGCTACACTCAGTTTTCAAAATGGAGATTTTTTTTACTTCATTGTTCAAAAAAAAAGAGAAATGAGATTAATGAAAGTTAAACAGCACAAGAATAATGTTTAGCACTTCTGGGTTTATCTGTGTCTCAAACTAGTTGTAGGTGGTTGAAATGTTCCCAATGAGAGCACTTCCTCTCATTTTTCACACGTCAGACAGGATAGGAATTGCATCAGTTGTGACTGAGAAAAAAAATGCTTGTGCTGCAAAACACAGAGTAGATTTTTAAGAAACTTCAGAAGAAAATTCTTTAGTTCAGATGGTTTAAAAATATGTATTTTAAAGAAACGGTGTTTTTCTAGGCCCTTAAAAGGCCAGGAGTGTTTCAAAAAAAGAGAATGACCACAAATATGCACATGAAAACCCTCCCAAGACAGGTTTTTCACTCCCTTCCACTCCTTTTCTCTGTCCTTCTTCTCTGACTTGATGGATTAAACCTGCAAGCTGCTGAGTGTTTGACAGTGAAGTGTATTAAAACGGACTGCATATTAAAACTGTTCTGACATTGAAACTGTTTCAAAGAACCAGTACCCGTTCCAGCACACAGATATTAGGAAAATGTCTTCAAGCATTTTGACACCCCCCCAATGGACAATCTGTACATTTCAGGGGGAAATCGACGGGTTTAACATACTGGTTCATGCAGCTCCCTTAGATCAAAACCATACGTCTGTGAACTCAGAGCCCAGGGTAATCTTACACCTGAATTAATAAGCATCACAAGCATTTTCTCATCAATTTAGCCCTGAGCAGCATTTTCAACACAAATGTTTTGTGAAAATTAAGCTATAGTTCAGAGATTTGACTTGACATAGTTTAAAAATAAAAAAAAATCTTTACCAAGTTTTGCGCAAAATTATTATCAGTGTGTCGAAAAATTGGAGCACACTGCAACTCAGGGAGAAGAAGTGAAAACAAGCACAAAAAAAGACTTCAGACTGAAGCACTTCATGGAAGATGCATATAAATGAAAGCCCACAAACCCTAAAGACCTGCTATGGAAAAGAGTGGGCAAAGATCCTACCTCAAGCATCTGAAAAATTGATTAGGTCATGGGAAAGATACTACAACTGTTAAGGGAGTTTTAGTTGCCTGAGGACAATTCTTCACTTGTTTAAGAGGTAATCAAGTTAAAAAAAAATGCAGTAATACAGTAGAGAACAGACATCAGAAATTAGGTAAATGATCACTCAAATTATGAAGGTTGTAATAAAATTAAAACATTCTTTGGATTTTGGATGTTGACATGTTAAAGGAATCCTTCTTTTATTTATTAATGGACCATCCTGTTAATTCCTTTTCATTCTCTCGTTTTATTAGATTCATAATCTGTAATGGAAAACAGGAACTCTGTGACTTTAGATTTAGAGGCATTCTTAAAGTACTAAAAACATTTTATCCCTCCATGAAGGTCTGGGTCTACTTTCAACCTTATCTCATGCTGGTAACACGCTCCAACAAAACACTTAATCATGGTTTCTTGAAAAGTCCAGGCTGTTGAACCTCTCTTTAAGGCATAGCCTGGATTATCTGCATCTTATTTCTACCTCAGATTATGTATCATAAAGTAATTTTCCATCTTTTGTCTGCATAAAATCGTCACTATAATGAGCTGTTATAAAACTGAACTTAACAAGTAGGCAACTGTGCCTGTAGTGTTTGTCACTGACTTTTTGACAGTTACTTAAAAAAATTATTTTATGATATTGTTCATATTTTCTAAAATTACAAACACAAACTTCAATGTAAACATTCATATTGGTGGGTGTGCATTCAGACCCCTTTAATCTGATGCTTCTTGATGAAATTTGGTAACACCAGTTGTCTTCAGAAGTTGGTAAAGTTGGTAGAATTCCCTTTACAGATCATCAATCAAAAAGTCCTCATAAAGACCAAGGATAGCAATGGACAACATGAAGTAAACATGCGGATGAAGGTGCTGTTTTAAGATAAGAACTGGCTGACATGCTGCAGAATATATGATGGAAGAATACAACAGTCTATCTCCAACCATTAAAATAGGTTAACGAATGTATCATGGTGTGGGGAGCTATTCATGTTTAGATTGAGATCTATTGTTATTCACAGATGTTCTTCATCCAACCTGATTGCTATGAGCTTTTTGCAAGAAACGTTTGAAAAAGCTATGAGCCATACCCTCAAACATGCTGCTGTAACGCATATAACATTGACTCAGGGGGCTGAATAAAAATGTGAGATTTTTAGATTTTGTTAACAACTTCTGGAAAACCTGTCGTTTATGTATTGTATTTTGTTTTATTATCTGCTCTTTGTTGGTCTGTTGGTGAAATTCTCATAAGTGGTTGTGAGACAATGGGCAAGGTTGAAGGTGTATAAACTAAAAGAAGAAAACAGGAGGTTGTTTTCACCACAACCACTCCCTTGCTCTTTAGAGAATGTTTTTCTCTTCAGTGATATGTTGCAACAAAGACAGCAACCTGAATTTGAAAAATACATTTTTGGTTTCATTTTGAAATCAAGATTACTCATAACTCTCACCAAAAAGCATCCCTCCCTCTGGTCAGTGATAATTGGTATTTTATTGCCTCCCAGGCAGAAAAAAAGTAATAGGCCATATTTATTCCTGCAGAACAACATTATTTTTTAAAACATATATGTCATTTAATGGTGAAAGCAGCAGGGGTTTAGGGTTTAATAGGCTAGAGCTAATCCAAGTAAGCATCTACATTGGACCTCCTTCTGATGTAGTTACAGTTTAAATGAATTAAAGTTATGTTACTCTGCTTTGAAATACAATATTATTGTCTTTCTTAATTGATTATGAGGCAAAAAAAGTGATGTATTAAAATCCTAATTTTATTCAATTATATATTGACCACAAAAAGACTGTTTGGTTTTCTTTTTATATGACACACAAACAGCAGCAGCTACTTTAATGGCAGGGACCTATCCACAGAAAAAAGTTGGAAGTCGTCCACAAGAGCCAAGCAGACACACGGCAGACGGGAGGAATTGCAGCCTGCAGAACAGTAACTGTCTCGCAGCTATGTGTGTCCTAAACACACATCCATTCACTGAAGCCTGTGCAGCTGGAGGCACTCTACACATCTGTGTCATGGGCATTGAATCCTAGAGGCAAGTCTGGAAAAGTGAAAAAAGGAGGAATATTTTGTTCAAACAAAAGCAGAGTGGAATGTGAGCAGAAAGTAAACACACTGTCAGGAGTTTTTACTAGATGTGGTCTCGCCTTACAGGAAACCTAATGAGTTCTTACTGTTATTTTGTGCTTTAAAAGCCAGTTCAGGACACATTCACAATAAAGATTTTAAACTTTATTGGACATGGTCATGTTTATTGTTTTATCACTGTTTTGCACATAATTGGTTCAGATCAGACTCATTCTATCCGTTCCAATTCGTTGTGGAAATGCATTGCATAGGCCAGATTCTTCTGCAGACTGAGGAGTCATGGAAAAACGGATCTGGTGGGACAGAAAAGTTTTATAGACTTTAGAAGTGGCTAGTGGGTACACGGAAAACTCATTGTTGGAACAAGCACCAGCCAAATAGCTCCTGGGTTTGATTTGTCTTGATTATGCTACTGAGATGAAGTCATTGCCACGTAATTGACCTCATACTAATGTCAGCAGGCTCCAGTGAGCAAATGTAATGGAACATATAATACTAGACATGCTTGGTATTTCCTTAAGGGCCCTTATCCCTAAAATCAAAGGAAAAGGAAAACACTCCTGAATTTCTGCAATGAGTCATCTATCCAAGACCTCTGTATTGCAAAATACACTAATTGGCAAACTGAAGCATAGATTCAGTATGGCATATTAGAGAAGCCAAGATGAAAGAAATATGCTATTCCTTTCAGAAAATTAATAGATGTTCTAAACTGCCCTTTTAAGAAAATGTGATTGATAATCTGGTTGGCTTAGATCATGTCAAATGTATGGCAAGCTTAATGCAAAAACCTAGCAACCATTCAGTTTTAAGGGAGTCTTATTTAAACACTAAAATGTGAAGCGAGCCTATTTTCTACTCAGGTGATAGGACCATTCTGCCATCTAGTGGCCAGCAAACTAAGAACTTTTAGAGGAATGGAAACTGCACATTCCTTCTTGTAATTATGCATAGAAAGGTTGAAGGTTATATGACTGTATCAACTCACATTTCTATTTAAAAAGGATAGTGCAAATGAATAGGAAATTACTTTATTGGACTACTTACGAAACTGTTTCAACCAAATATTAATTACTTTCTTTATAAGTAGGGGTTTTGAGATCAAAGATGTTATAACTCTACAAGATTCAATTACAAAAAATATATTTATCATTATGAAAACTTTTGGTTTGTATTATGTTTTCCCATAGCTGTTACTAAGGTATTTTCAGATAAATAAAAAGAAACAGAATATTTTGAATAATCAAACAAATCATATATATATTGCCATGACATATACTAATTGAACATGGAAAAAAAAAGATAATTACATTTGTAAAAAAAATCAAATAATAATAATAATAATAATAATAATAATAATAATAACGGTGATGCAAAACGATCAATATATTTCTCAATTAAAAAAAAACAAAAAAAAAACATGAATTTTATACACGTGAAAACAAATGCAAAAACTAGTGCGTTTCCCCAACCGGAACCTTATGCTTTGCTTTTCTCGTACCTTCGGACATATTAAAAAGGCGGACTACTCCAGGGTCACGTCGCTACATGTCCGTCAAGCTCAGCACATTCGAAGTAAATGTGTACAGGGATATCTTTTTTTTTTTTCTTTCTTTCTTGAACAAGGTTATAGACTGAACTGTTTTGATGGACTGTGTGGATCAAAGTAACGCAAATGCAGAAGCACCCTCCGTTATCGACCGATATTATACACGGTGGTACAGAGCAGGTAGCATTTTTATTTTTATTTGTTTCAATTCAGCGAGCAATAAATTGAAATGTCTTGTTTTCATTGTTAAATTTTATTTTATTTATTTATTTATTTTAGATATGAAGGGTAAAGCATGTGAGGATCACTGCATCTTGCAACATTCAAACAGGTAACACCTATATATATATATATTTTGATGGCAAGCTGAAGATGTAATTGCTCATTTCAGTTGGCTGTGGTGGAGCAGGGATGCATCTAAAATCTCCTGGAAAGTCGATTTTGAGGATTTAAAGAATCGACCACAGCTCAGTGGCCTGGTAGAGCTATGAGTTGTTCACTCCACAAAATTGTATTTTTGGAAAATGTTGCAAAATTAAATATGAATAGCCATTGGATGGTTAGTTTGGCACGAGTTAAGTATGGGTTATTGTAAATCCATGGAATAATTTAACTGCTATAAAGATAAAACAGAACTTGCATTAGCAAAAAAAAAAAGAAAAAAAAGAATAATATATATACCGGTATATATATATATATATGTGTATGTATGTATAGAGTGAAAATCTTAATACAATGCAGTCTTAAATTGTTTCTGACTGAAAAGACTAGAGACTGGGGGAGTTGTTGGGGTTACTCTTTAACCATGATTTAACTGCAGTGGTTTAGATGAAAGTTTTGAATTGGCCAATTAGAAGACAAACCTAAATTAAAGTGCATTTGAAATATGGCACGCGATTCCTGACCATTTCTATTCAGTCTGACCGAGCATTGTTTTACAATGAGTCTTGCATTTCCTGAAACGATGTTGAATTAGATTTAGTATTTTCCAGTGTTTGCATTTGCATTCATTGCCTTAAAAAAAGAAGAAAAAGTGTATTTCTAGACCTAATTCCTATGTCTTTGACTTACTTTGTCTATGTCCTTACTTAGTTGTGGTTCCTTTTTTATTTTCATCATATTCTTTCTTTATTTGTATCTTCCTTCCTCCATCCTATATGTTGTACACTTTACCTTTCTTTCATTCAAATTTCTTTTTTTTTTTTGCATGGCCTTGTTTTCTTTCTTTCTTATTTCCACCCTTGTCTCCTGCCTCCTTTTTCCGATTTCCTTCGCTCATCTTGTGTTTACCTTACTTTCCTACTAGTCTTCCTTTCCCTCTTCCTGTAGGTTCCACATTTATAGCCTGTCTACAATAAGTCTCATGAAAACTAAGTGAAGGTTGTTTAATATTACATTTTCTAAGGACTGTCAACTCTGGAATGTTGAGTCTGGAAACTTAGGGAATATTTATAGGAAAAATATTTAAGAGTTCTGAGAGTTGGGAGAAATTACCCCTAGATTTGTCAAGATACTGTAGTAGATACCTACCCCAAACAAATCTCTGCCCATTTTCTTTCCACTTTGCATTTATGCAGTACCTTTGTGTTGACCTGGCTCATGAGTATTCAAGAAATTATAATTTTGGATTTGCAGAACAAAATGTTTAAATTGTGCTAATTGTTTTCGAAGGCACTGTTTATGACCTGCATAAAATAAATGCATCTGTTTTCCCTCTATTTTCTAAAGTCTTTAAATTATTATTATTATTTTTTTAATCAGAAATGACATAAAAAAAATCTAGCTTTTGCCAGTAATTATTCATTTGTTTTCTGCTTTAGTAGTTTTACACAGAAAAAAAATATCTGGCTATAGGTACATTGTTTGCTAGATACTTAAAAATGAACTTTTCCTGTTGCAGGTTGTGTGTTGTTACCTTAGCTGAGACCCACCCAATCCTTCAAGAAGGACGCACTATCAAGAGCATCAATTACCAGATCAGTAATGGCTGCAGTCGCTTGAAGAATAAAGTGTCTGGAAAGTCTAAACGGGTAAAGTTATTAAGCTTCTGATGTCTTTCGATTAATGTGCACAGCAACAATTTTATTACCACGATTCCCTGGAATACATTGTTCCATTTTTCTTTTAATAGGGGGCACAGTTTGTTACAGACTTTGCACCGTTGTGCAGAATAACATGCTCAGATGAGACAGAGTACACAATATATAGGTAAGGTTTTCCCTTCAGTAAACATTTATTGTTTGGTTCTCTTATAATATTTTTAATTATATATATATATTTTTTAATTATATTTTTATTGTTGTTCCAGTTGCATAAGGGGACGGCTTCTGGAGGTTAATGAGAACATTTTGGAAACGCCAAACCTCTTGATAGAAAAGGTAGATTCCTTTTCCCTCCAGACTATAAATAACATTACATTGCATGAGATTAAGATATACGATTATAGTTTATACTGCTAGTGGTTCTGGTAATTAGTCATGGTTTTTTTTCCCCAACATAACAATTATCTGACTTTACAAGACCAACTTAAGGAAATGCTTTTGCATTCTGTTCTTGATCTCTTGAACAGCCGTCCACAGAAGGATACATCGCCGTCATCCTTCCAAAGTTTGAGGAAAGCAAGAGCATCACCGAACACCTCTTGACGAGAGAAGAGTTTGAGGGCGTCGTCTCCAAACGCAGTGTGTCACAACCCTCCTCATAGGGCATCTAAGACTAAAATTTTCTGGGAGAGATTTAGTTTTTTTTCTTTAAGTATGTTTCCCACCTTCATTCTCCCAGTTGGTTCAAGACAAAGACTGAGAAAATGGACTGAATCCACCTCCTGAGGAGAAGCTTTTGCTAAAGAAGCACTTTGCCTTCAGTTTTTCTCCCAATTACAAAGACTCCAGAGTTTTTTTGTTTTATGTCCCAAGCTTCAGAAAGCTCTAATTTAGAATGTATGTTATTATAAAAGAAGAAAGAATGAAGTATTTTTTTTGTGAAGTACTATACATTATTTGCAGATGATAAACATTTGTTTGATAAGAAAAAAATCAAACTGAGATTTATGAAAAATATTTTTATTTATTTTCTCAACCTTTTATCAACCTTTCAGTCATCAAAAATTAGATGGTCCAAAACTAGATGTATTTTTAAACCTATTTTGAATCTTTGATAGCTTTTCTCACAAGATACATACAATAATTTCCTAAAGCTTACTTTGCTTTATAGATTTCAGTCATTATCTCCTGCTCACCCAGTGTCAAAGTTACTATCTTTAGCTCCATAGTATATCATACGCTCTATGTACCACAATATACATCTCATCATACCCTTTAATTCATAGTGGCATGTTTGGATGCTTCACACTGAATAACAAATACATTTAAAGGTTCTGTTCGAACAGCAGATGATTTGGTTTTACTCGGCATGCTTTAAAATAAGATTCTGATTTGTCAGCAGCAGGAATGCACAACTGCATTTTTTTTTTTGTCATTCTGATGTAAAAAAATCTGCTTATGATGCTGAAAAAGTGTTTCAGTCATTTCGCATGAAAACTCCCCCCCCACATTAACATGACACATAGTAAATGTTCTATAGTAAAATGCTATGGCAAATATACTGATTTTAATCCAATCTATCTACTTAGAAAATACATGTCCAAGTGAGATTATGGCGGGTACACATGTTACAATCGCACTTGTTGAGACACATTTACAGTACACCACAAAACAAATGGGCTCGGGGCAAACAGGCACGTAGCAGAGCAATGAAACTAGTGACATTCTCTCCAAACTAGAATGGGGCTCCAACACAACCTGGACCAGTATTAAGTCTGCTTTAAGCCTTGTTTTGGGGTTGTTGTGATAAGCATGGATAAAAAGCAACATCACAATGGAAATATTCAGTTTTTTTGGTTATTTTCACCCTCATAAGGATATTTGAGGAAAATAAATAAGCAATGCTGCATAATGTGGTTTGTGCATCAGTTTATTCTAATGGCAAGCTTAATCTTTAAATTGACTGAAAACCCATTGATTTTGTTATTTTAGCCATTTGTGTTTCGTTTTTTCACTTACTGACTGAATGCACAGTTGTGAAAAAATAAAGGACCATAATTATCTTTAGTCTTAAAAAGCACAGAAAACAAGAATAATTGTACTAAAATACAGAAATTTTGCTTAACATTCTCTACTTTAGGTACAGTAGGAGACTTCAGCCTGTACTTGACAAGGTTTTGAAGATGAGTTGTGATACAATCCAGATGCCCCAAAAATATTAGATGGCCATATATCACAAAGACAACTGATGGCCAGTTTCTAAATTGTGAAATTGTGGTGTTTCATCATTTTGGGAACTGAAAAATCAAAGACAAAACTTTTTTTTTTTTTCTGTAAATCTCAAGGATTTTAGAAAAGATCTTGAAAGTAATTAAAAATTTTGTCTGGAAACATAGAATTTTGATATACTTCTGTAGAAACCCTTAATCATCAAATCTGAGTGTTTTATTTGAAGACTCATCCTGTTGGCTGATTGTCCTATTATCAACTTTGAAACATCTAGTTGTTCAATTAAATGTGGAATAAATCCATTTGATTGGACATGGTGTATATTTCGTCTTCCCCTCCCCGCAAGTCAAATATGACCTCTGTCTGACCCAAGTCAGCCATATTTGCCCCAAATTTCAAGTCCACCCTGTGGTGATTGAAGGGAATGATGGGATAATTTCACAGATTTAAGCTTGACTATGTGTTGCTGTGACAACAGTGGGAAAAACAAACACGCAGACGGTCTCCTGGCTTATTTGCTCTCCAGGAGGTTGAGGCTGGCCATGTGCTGCTCCAGGGATTTGACTCCAAAGCCGTTTGTATTTTTGCTGCTTAGAGCTCCATCCTCTTTGACTGGTGTGGATGAATCCTGTCGTTCTGCCCAGTCCGGCAGGGAACTTAGGCTCGTCCTCTCTGACTTGTGCTGTAAATTCAGCAAGACAAAAAAAGAGTTAGAAAGACAAACCAAGTTTTCAGATTGTGGTTTTATTGTTAGCTTTTTAAGTTTTTCTCAGACTTTGTTTCTGGGGAACATTAGGACCTATATCAAGCATCTCATACTAACATAGCAAAAGGTATTTGGTTGATAAAGAGCTAAAATAAAACTGATTTCTATCAAATCCTTTCAATCAAACATATTTATAGATGTTGAAGGCATTCTGAATATACTTCCTGAGTAGAACTGTGGCTAAAAAATCTGGTTTTGAGAATTTGGCTGCATTGTTTGAACCATAAATAAAATTAGTAATAAATCATCCTATTTGCATTTTCTTCCTTAAGACTGCACATTGTATGCCATAATCAAAGAGAAAACACAGCGGACATTGCTTTTTTTGTTTTCATGGTCTGCCAGCAAAGTACTGTCCATAACTCGAAAACGAAAAAGCATTCTGAGCGTGGATGCAGCAGAGCGACGTCAGCAGTCTGTATTATTTGGGTCCTTGCTGACACATTTTCATCGTCTCTGTGGCGCAATAGGTCAGCGCGTTCGGCTGTTAACCGAAAGGTTGGTGGTTCAAGCCCACCCAGGGACGTTTTTTTTTTATGCTGGTGAAGATTCTGGGTCTTAGTCATTCCAAAACCAATCCACCCGACCTGCTTTCCAAGTTTGAAGATGTTTTGCTTACACTCCAGAAAGGTTTTTCAAATTGTCAGAATTAGTGTTGACTTCGAAGGACCCCAAAAACTTGTTTTGGCTTAGAAAACGTGTAAATTGAACGAGAAGAATGGGTCTGCTGCCTAGAATGGGGAATCGTTTTGGGTACTTTGTTAGCCCGAAATACCCGATACTTGGCTATGCCTCTGAAATGGGGGTTGTTAGGTGCAATTCTTGGCTTGACAGCCCAGGCAAGATGTTTTGTCCCCTGCATGGGAGTGGGAGTTGAAATGACAGCGGGTGGCTAACGAGCCTTAATGAGGCATTGGTGAACCATTATTTCACGTGTCTTTGATGTGATCCATTTTAAGTGTTGCATTGTAAAACTCTTCTTTGTCTTTAAGGCTTAACAAGGCATTGGTAGACCATTATTTCACATGCATTTGATGTACTCTATATTAAGTTTTGTATTGTAAAACTCTTCTCAGCATTACATTGTGCAGAGCTCTGTAGAATAACCTTGCTTTTCCATGTTGTGGCATAGATATAATGTTTTCTCTTAAAATCTTGGAAATAGCTGACCATGTGTAAAATACCCTCCCAACAGTGTGGAAAGTAGCATAAACCTTTAGGTTTATTAGTGCACCTTCTTTTTCCCTGTCTTTGATATACTCCATATTAAGTCCTGCATTGTAAAGCTCTTCTAAGCATTACATGATGCACAGCTTATTAAAAACCTTGCTTTTCCATGTTGTGGCATAGATTTAATGTCTTCTCCTCTTAAAATCTTGGAAATATCTGAACAAGATGAAAATACCCTTCCAACTACAGTATCTGGAAAGTATAATAAAATACTTTTTGAACAACATTTACACTGAAACTTAGTTTTTGTAAGAAAAAGTGTCACTCTTCTAAGGAAAAGTGTCACTATCATGGAAAAAGCTGAGGGCTGAAAAATGTAGAGTTCAGAACTCTCATTTTGACACAATTTTTATACTGCGCAGGTGTGCTCTCTTGGTGTGTGTCTTGCAAAGAAATGTCGCCCTTGTCTCTGTGGCGCAATAGGTCAGCGCATTCGGCTGTTAACCGAAAGGTTGGTGGTTCAAGCCCACCCAGGGACGTTTGTCTTTAGATTCTAGGTTCCAAAACCAATCCACTGGACTTGTTTTCCAAGTTTGAAGATGTTTTACTTCCAATCCAGAAAGGTTTTTGTTGCTGCATAGATTCGATGTCTTCTCCTCTTAAAATCTTGGAAATATTTGACCAAGAGTAAAATACTCTACCAACTGCTTAGAAAGTAGCATAAATAAAGTACTTTGTGAGCTACATTTACACTGAAACTCTGTTGTTTTAATGGAAATGTGTTACTATCATGGAAAAGCTGAAATCTGGAAAAAACTGAAGCTTGAAAAATGTTCAGAACTTTCATTTTGACACAATTATTAGTACCGTAGTTATGTCAGTGGATTTGGCTGTTAACCGAAAGGTTGGTGGTTCAAGCCCACCCAGGGACTTTTGTCCTTAAGGCTGTTTTTTTTTCAAAGGAAAAGTGTCACTATCTTGGAAAAAGCTGAAACCTGAAAAATTTAAACATCAGAACTTTCTAATTTTAATGCAATAAGTACTAGAGGCAGATCCGGTCTTTGTGTGTGTCATATGTTCAGTGTATTTGTCTGTTAACTGAAGGAGTGATGGTTTAAGCCCATCAAGGGACCTTTCTCTTTTAGATGTGGCAATCTGCAGAAATACTACTCACAAGAATCTGAAAAAAGTGAGTGATTATGAGGTGAGGGAAATTTTTTATTGGAAGTACAGATAAAGGAATTTTCAGAACAGTAAAAACATAAATGGACCAAAATACTTCTTTTTGAAGAGAATGAGCCTGAATTCTCTCTTTCAACTTAGGGAAATGTGTGGAAATTCAACCAACTCATTCAATCCAGTTATTTAGGGAGGGATGTGGATGTTACCTTTTTATTTAGCTTGTTAGTAATAGGGAGAAGGGAGAGGATCACCGTCATGATGTTTCTGGTTGTCTGAATCGATGAGTCCACCTACAGATAAAGAAAGAGAAATATACATCACAGAATCAGAAATTAAAGGCAGTTAATGTTTTCCCAAGTCTTTGCTTGATGCAATTTAGATAATCCTCTTCGAAATTTCCTCTTTACTTTACCATATGAAAAAATTATTGTTAAAGAAAATATATCATGCGCCATGATTATATGTTATATTCAAACAATATCTGCAGCAATGGCAGCATTTTTCGCTTCCATTTAATTTAGTTTCTGAAAGGTTAAACAGTTTTATAATATTCAATATTATGTATAAAGTAAACAAAAAAT